CTGCAGTGGGTTGCCATGGGTTACCGTGTGTAGCCAGCAGCCAGCGTGAGTGGCCAGCTGCTACAGTGAGTGGCTGACAAGAAGCCAGTGACTGATCTGCCTCACCCGGGAACAGCGCAACGATGGTGCCAACTTGGGCCAGATGAAGCAACGTTCTCCATAACTAGACTGAAGAACAAAACGACAGCAATTTGTCTGTTCCCCTTCCCGCAATTCCCCAATAAAAATCTTAAAAAAAAAAGGTTTTAAATAGTTTCTTTCCCCTTTAAAGTCGTGTATTTCATTTTATAAAACATAGTCAATATGCAAACTTTTAAGCTTAAAAACAAAACCTATGTCTACATGGACACAAGTTTTGAATACCTTTTAATGAATTTATGGAAGAACTGGCTACTTTGAGACATTAATGAAAATGCTATTTGCATTTGCCACTAAAATAAGTTGCTATGAAACCTGACAATGCATTTTAGACTCAGTATTCGACTTACAGAAAGATATACAAAGTGTTAAAAAAAATCAATAATCCCTATCGTGTAATAACTTATCATATCTCATAGCCCAGTAAATCACATCAAACTCACGATAAAAAGATACGTTCGCCTACTGAGTTCTGAGCACATCCCAAAAATATATGAGTAATTATGAGATATTGGTAATATCAGCAAAACTATCAACAGATTTTTAGAGGTATAATTTATCCAGGCTAGGAGATAGACTAATTTTTCAAGATTCCTTCTTGCCCGAATTGAAGAAGTATTAAAGATGAATACAGTAAATCATAAAATAGTTTTTAACATTATCTGTATATGATCCTTGCAGATAACTATAACTGATCAACTATGACAGAATGGAATTCACTCACCAATACCATAAACCACAAGTTAACATGGCTTTTTGTACACCTCCTCTTTTACTATATCTGCAAAATCTCACCCTGTGAAATTCATCACCACAGTGAAGTCAGGCTCCCTTTAAATCTTCTGAGAATACAATTCTTCAAAGGCATTTAACTATGAGGAATTCTCCCTTACTTTACCACACCTGCTTTAGGTTGCAAACCATATGGAGTATATTATACTTACACTAACTACTCTTCAATAATTTCAGGAGGCAATTCTAAATTTCTAATGCTGCCTATAATGTTCATGTTTTGAGCCAAGGCTTTCTTAGTAATTCTTGCTTCTTCACTGATTCAAAGCAGCTCAAATTAGCTTTTGGAGCTCATTTCTAATCTGAACTCATTTTTTCTGCACAAGCTCCTGGGCAACAGGTAGAGTTTGCAATCTTATTTGTTGTAGCAAATAGTGTTTATATTAAAGTAGGTGCTTTTCTGTCCTCTGAGAGCTACAAGCAAGATTCATTCTTCAATATGCAAGAGTTGCTTAAAAACCTCAGCCATTCAAGATTAGGACATTTCAGATAATTTTTTCCACACAGAATACTTTTTAAATTTAATAATATTAATTCTGAGAAAATTAAAACTAATGGGAAAGACTCCTTGAAAACACTGGGTTAGTTTTCAGATGATAAAAAACAAAAAAACTAAAATGAATGTTGATGTTCAGAAGAAATTCCGGAGGCGGGGGAGGGGGAAGAAACATCCTATGTTCCTCCTTTTACTGAACTCTTACTAAACATAACACTGTCAACCATGGCCTCACTATCTTAAAGAAGTGAAATATTCTGTAAACTGAGGTCATAATAGAGCATCTAAACATGTAGGATCCCATATTCTGAATCCAAGTTAGGAAACCTGTGTTTGCAGAGATGGAAATCCAGAATTCCACAGGGAATTCTCCCAACAGAAAAGGTAAAACTCAGTGTACAAAAATATATAAACCAACAGACTTTTGTATCTTTGTAGTTGTTATTGGTGATTTTTTTATTGTGGTTGTTTTTTGTTATTGTTAGCAAGTAAATAACATTTTATTATCAATAATATTAAGTGTGAAAAAATACAAAAGAAAACCTGAAAAAGTAACCAGGATAGCAAATTATAGCAAAGCAGAAATTCATCTAAAATCTTAAACTAATAACCATATATAAGGCAGCAAATTCTCTTAATGGAAAAACTACCAGCAATTTTAACAGCCAAATATTTGTACACAGGAATAACAAGAAAGTATTGCTATAAAACAAATGCATGATTTTAGAAGTCAAATGTCAGAAAGAAAACAACTGTCACTCTAGTCCTTATATCATATTCCTAGACAGTAGACAAATATGATAACCCAAGTTGAACGACTTTAGCAATGTCGGTGCTCATTTTTTTTTACTATCTAATTCCAATAATTGAAGCTTAATAGTAAAAAATAAAATATGAAAAATTTATTTGATAAAACTTACAATGGAATACACATAACTGGTTACATTATATGTGAACTTACTACATTGAAAATTTTAATACATTCATCTATCAAAATCTATCAGAAAAATTAAAATCCAAATTACACATATTTTGAACGGATTTAAAAGCACTATTTTCCATTCCTTTTATCCTCATAAAATACATTAATCAGAAGTCTGTATGATGTAGAAAATGTTATAAGATTTTGCTATGATGCTTCACATTCCCAATTATTCACAGTGAAACACTTTTTATGGATTCAAAGCTTTCAAGAATAAACGCATACAACTGAGAGCTCTCCCGACAGAGCTTACCGTCTTGTGACCGTTCTGGCAGGCCACGTGCAGTGCCGTCTGCCCCATGGCGTCCTCCACGTCGACGTCACTGACGTGCTGCACAAGGTCGTGGAGCAATTCCGTCCGCCCGTTCACAGCCAGCCAGTGTATCTGTGCAGCCATTCAGTTACTTAGCATTTATGCAAGAGTGTTTCATATAAAAACAGCAGATAAATAATGCGATTATTTCTCAACTGTGGGCATCATACGCACAGTCAAGACTAAAATTAATATTTAAGCCTATATACTTTTTTCCTGTATTTTTATATGGGGAAAAATATGCACCAAGGTGTAGGTTACACCAAAATCAAGCACTTCATGGGTTCAAAGTATTAATAGTTAAGTACAGACTTAGAATTGCCAAATATTCTGTTTCTTAGGTAGATGACCCTGGACTCTCTGCATAGCTTGTCTCTAGAGAAAGGGTACTGGATATTTTTCCTTCCCCAGAATTATACATAAGTTAAAAAGTAACACAGTAGATGTCATAGTCTTTACAAATAAGGCATGTATCCTGTATTTTACAAGTAACACATGTATCATATATAAACAATAAAATATATAGGGAGGATAAAAATATAAAGCACATACAAGTATACTGCTCAAAGATAATCAATGTTAAAACTTTGGACTATGCTGTGTCCATGCATTTTCATTTAACTTTTTTCCAATAAAAAATACATCATGGAACTTCTGTTTTAAAATGGCAACTTGAGGGCCAGCCAGGTGGCGCATTAAGAGCTGGCTTGGGATGCCAGAGGGCCCCGGTTCGGATCCCACATATGAGGGCCAGTGACACTGCCCTCTACAGCTAAGATGAACAACAGCTCAACCTGGAGCTGGGCTGCTCTGAGTCGATGGCCACGGTGCAGGCTGCAGCCCCTGCTGCAGTGGGTTGCCATGGGCTACCGTGTGTAGCCAGCAGCCGCAGTGAGCGGCCAGCAGCCGCGGTGAGCGGCCGTCCAGAAGCCGGCGACTGATCTGCCTCGCCTGGGAAGAGCGCAATGATGGTGCCAACTTGGGCCAGTGAAGCAACGTCCTCCACAACTAGACTGAAGAACAAAACGACAGCAACTTGTCTGTTCCCCTTCCCCCAATTCCCCAATAAAAAAATCTAAAAAAAAAAAAAAAATTCAAGAAAACTTAAAAAAAACTGTATTTAATACTCTCAGAGAGAAAACATACTGACTGCATCCTTGAACAAGAAAAGGATACTATTAAAACAACAACAAAAAGTTATGAAAAAAAAAACCTCTCAGAAATTAGTACTGTGATTAGACATGTAAATTCAAAAGAAGATTTAGAATATTGAGGTCTCCCAGAAAGCACACACAAAAAAAAGAAATAGAGAAAAAAGAGAAAAGGTAAAATCAAAAGGCTAGCCCAAAGGGGTCCAACATTCGAACAACAGAATTAAAAAAAAAAGAGAGCAGGAAAACAGAGGAATGAAAATCATTAAAGAAGTAATTTATGAAAACTTCTCATGAGCTCCCATTACACAAGCTTCAGGTTGACAAAACCTCAGTATTATCCAGTCAAATGGATAAAATTAATCCAAATCAAGATATATAATCATGAAATTTAGAACTCTAAGGACAAAATAAATTCTATAAGTTTCTAGAGAGGAAAAAAACAAATCAAGTTTCATTAAAAAAAAATCAGAATCAAAATGGCACCAAACTTCAAAGCTGAAAGCCAGAAGAAAACAAAGCATGCTTTTAATCCTAAGGGAAAACAATGTCTAGCCTAGAATTTTATTGTTAGCTAAATTATTAATTACATAATCAGACAAACTGAAAGACTCAAGTAACATTCAATCATGCAAAGTGTCAACAAATTTACCTTTCACACACTCTTTCCCAATTAACTACTAGAAAATGTGCTCCAGCAAAGTGACAGAATAGTTATCATGAAAAACAGAACCTATATAACAAAGAACCCAAAACAAGACAGAGGCAAAAGGAATCTCCAGGATGATGGTGAAAAGACATCCCAAACAACTGTGAAGCAGGCCTAGAAATCAACCCATCTGGCTTAGAAGGACTGAGGTCTTCATGATAGACTCCTTCAAAAAGGAGTCTCCAATCAAGAAGACGAAAGGTACTGAATACATATTATGAGGATATTTACAAGCTCAGGGAAAGTTTGGTATGGATTAGTAATTAAGTACTTAGAAAACTTGAAAAATTTAAGCTACAATAAGGCAAGAATCAGAAATAAAAGATATACAGATTAGAGAAGATAAAACTATCTCATCTGCAGATAACAAAAAAATCCCAAGGAATCTACAAAAAACTCCTAGAACTAATAAGTGAGTTCAGCAAAGTCGCAAGATATATAATCAATGCATAAAGAGCAACTGTATTTCTACATACTATCGGTGAACATGCAACAACCAAAATTAAAAACATAATACCATTTACAACTGCTCCAAAGAAAATGAACTACTTAGCTATTAACATTTGTACAAGATCTGTATGCTGAACAGTACAAAATGCTAATGAATGAAATCTAAGACCTAAATAAATGGAGAGACATACTGTGGAAGACTCAACACAGTAAAGATGTCAATTCTCCCCAGCTTAATGCAGCTACAATAAAAATCCCTGCAAGGTTTTTTGTCATAGACAAGTTTATTCTAAAATTTATATGGAAAGGCAAAGGAATCAGAATAGCTAACACAATCTTTAAAAAGAAAAATAAAGTGGGAGAAATTACTCTGCCTGATATATAAGTACAATAATCAAGGTAGTGTGGTATTGGCAAAGGAACAGACACAAAGATCAATAGAACAGAACTGAGGACCCTGAATAAGCCCATACAAATACACCCAACAGATTTTTGAGAAAGATACAAACCCAATTTCATGCAGAACGAATAGCCTTTTCAACAAACAATGCTAGAGTAACCGGACTTCATAGGCAAAAAAAGAAATGAACCTCAATTTAAGTGCCACATCTTATACAAATATTAGCACAAAATTGATCACAGATGTGGCAATAGATCAAAGTGTCAAATTATAAAACTTTTTGAAAAAAAGAGAAAATCTTCAGGATCTAGTACATAGTAAGTAGTCAAGAAATTCCTGTTGAAAGAACAAATGAAACTTGAGGGGTCCTTTGTGAGGGAGACCAGCCTAGAAAGCATGCAGTCAACAATTCTCTCCTTTTGTAAAAAAAATCCTGGGGCTCTTGGCTCCCAGCTGAAGGTTATTCCTTCTCAGGAGCCCTTGGGCTTTCCTCCCCCATGTTTGTGGCAACTATTCAATTCCGCAGCAGCACGTTTTCACCACCCTAGCTTCCTTCAGCTGATGGGGTCAATGAGCCGGACTGTTTAGTTAATTCCAACATGGTGGTCTGGGACTACGAGGGAACATGCTTGGCGGCCAGAATGGTTTCCAAGAGGAGGTACACCACACCAGTCAGGGCCACAGGAGAGAACACCGAGGTTTATCCCAGGCAGAAAGAGAGTAGAGGTTGTTTTTCTATAACAAGCCTTGTGGAATCTAATGACTCTTTAAATATACGCTTGAGTAAGTTTTTAAATAAAAATTTGATTTTTAAAGATTTTCTGCTCCACTTCCTTTAAAGTTCAGAGGTCAGAAGAAATTAGCAGATAAAAACTTAGGTGATTAAGGGGCCGGCCGAGTGGCTCCTTGGTTAAGAGTTGGCTTGGAAGCGCGAGTTCTGAGCAGCAGGGCCCCGGTTCGGATCCCACATGGGCCAGTGAGCTGCGCCCTTTACAGCTAAGATGGTGAACAACATCTCGACCTGGAGCTGGGCTGCCGTGTGTGACCAGGGATGGCATAGGCTACAGCCCCTGCTGCAGTGGGCTACCTTGAGCTACTGTGAGTGGCTGGCAGTCAGTGTGAGCTGCCAAGAGCCGCTGTGAGTGGTCGTCCAGCGGCCGGCGACCGATCTGCCTCAGCCAGGAAGAGCACAATGATAATACCAACATGGGCCAGTGAAGCGATGTCCTCCACAACTACACTGCAGAACAAAAGGATAGCAACTTGTCTGTTCCCCGTCCCCCGATTTCCCAAATGCTGTTCCCCTCCCCCAATTCCCCAATAAAATCTTTAAAAATAAATAAATAAAAAATAAAAGATTTTATTAACAGACAAGTTCTGTCCTTTTGTTCTTCAGTCTAGTTGCGGAGGACGTAGCTTCACTAGCCCATGTTGGTATTATCATTGCACTCTTCCCGGCTGAGGCAGATCGGTGGCTGACCTCTGATGGCCGCTCACGCTGGCTGCCAGCCACACACAGTAGCTTATGGCAGTCCACTGTAGCAGGGGCTGCGGCCTATGCCATCACCGGCTATTCACAGCAGCCCAGCTCTAGGCCGAGCTGTTGTTCACCATCTTAGCTGTAGAGGGCAGTGTCACTGGCCCTCATGTGGGATCCAAACCCGAGCCCCGCGGCTCAGAGCTGCCGTCCCAAGCCAGCTCTTAACCAACGTGCCACTCAGCCAGCACCCCAATAAAATCTTAAAAAAAAACAAAAAACAACTTAGGTGATTAAACAGATTATGTTAATATTGGACATCTTATCTTGCTTATACTAGATAGTGTCCTAAGCATAGATCTATGTCAATTCTATAGCTTTATAAACCTCTATGGTACGCACCATATCACTAAGCACCCTGTAGATATTCAAAATACAGTTTTTCTTTACAGAGATGGTGTTATATTGTTAATATGTAATAATATCTGGATTATCACAGGAATTGTGGACTCCATATAATCTGATTGAGCTTATTCTCTAATAAGTCAACAATAATTCAAATCTTGGGGAAACTGTTTTTTTATGCTCCACACCTCAGCCCCCCAACCAAAAAATTTTAATCAGTAAAGTTTGAAAACTGGCATAGTATGAAAATACTCAATATTCTTCTTTACTCATAAATTAAAAGATTTAAAACCTACAAATACTACCAAAGGGAGGTAAAAAAAATTTTTTTTACTGAGTATAATTGACAAATAAAATTGTAAAATATTTGAAGTATATAACATGATGATGACATACATTGTGAAAGGATTCTCACCATCCAGTTAATAGGTCCATCACCTCACATATAGGTAAAATTTAATAAATAAAACAGTATCTTCTGTCAAAACTTCAAAACGATTTCCAATAATCACATAATTCTATTTTATCTCTACTTCTAAAACAAATAATGCTCCATTAAATGACAACTTGATTCAAATTTTTGGACTTCAATCCCTTCAGAAATATCACATACAACCTCTCTATAATATCTAAAGTGGATCAAAAATATAATAACTTATTTTTTAAGAAAGTGACATGGCAAAATGAATAAAAACACTAGGTTAAGACATAACAAGTCTGAAAGGTTATAGGCCAAAATATTAACAGTAATTATCTCTGAGTGCAGGGAATACAGGAACTAATCATGCCCTTTGTTACCTTTTTTTTCCCTTTTGCCTACCCATCCAATTTTCCTACAATGTACACATTAAAAGAATTCAAAAGGACAGAATGAAAAACAGCACTCCTATAATGACCTTAGCAGAGATGCTCCTAAGAAGTCCCTTGAAAGTCACAAAAGCTAGGGGAATAAGACTTCAAAACAGGGCCGGCTGAGGCTCAGTTGGTTAAGAGCTCGCTCAAGAGTTTGAGCTCTGAGCAACAGCGGTTCGAGTCCTGGCCCGAGCGGAGCAGCCGCTGAGCTGCCAACAGGTAGCAGGATGGCTCAGCTAAAAAAAAAAAAAAAAAAAGACTTCAAAACAAAGAAAAAAAAAGGTCATAAACTTAAAAAGTGGGGAAAAGGAGAAACAGGGTGAACCATAACTTCTCTTAATAAATACAGCTAAGGACTATGTCTTAAATCATTCCACATCTTCTTAATTATCACAAAGAAGTAACTTGTAAAAACACTTTGCATTACTACACTTTGCATTACTGTCACCTTCAATATCATTTTCTAAAAAGTATTTTTAAAATCTCACATAAAATTCTTAGCACTTACTGCTGTAAGGCCTTCATTATTACAAATGTTGACATCAGCACTGTATTCTAATAATTTACTCATACATTTCTTCTGCCTGAAAAGAAAGAGACAGTCACAAATAACTGACACTAGAAAAATAAACAAATGACAATTATTTTAATGAAGTATTAACTACAGTCAACATTAGTTGATGGTATCAATCCATGCCTGCAATACTGAAATAAATCCTATAACATTTGAAATAAAATATGAATTGTTTCTACGACTCAAAGATAAGATAAAGAAAAAGCACAATGAGATTTTTATGTCATTGGGACAAATTCATCACTCAAAACGCTGAGAAATTTCTAGTATTGACTGAATATTTGAAATAGTAATCTTCATTACAAATACAAGACAAAAAACTGTAAGTCTAACAAAAGGGGAATGGATATAGCAAAAGAATGTCTCAATGTTGTATTATACATTCTTGATTGTGAAATATTTAAAAGTTAATACTAAATTACAAAAACATAACCACAAAACTAATAAAATCATGTATATGCATCCCCCTATCCACTTCACTTGTTTTTGATTATCTTTACTGTGGTAAAATACACATAATATAAAATGTATCATCTTAACTATTTTTAAGTATACAGTTCGGTGGTATTAAGTATATTCATATCCTTGTGCAACCATCCCCACCATCCATCTCCAAAACTATTCATCTTGTAAAACTGAAGCCCATTAATCAATAACTCCCCATTCTCTCTCCCCCCACAGCCCCTAGCAACCACCATGCTACTTTCTGTCTCTACAATTTGGGCTCATCTAAGTACTCCATAAAGGTGGAATCAAACAGTTGTTTCTCTTTTTGAGACTGGCTTATTTCACTTAGCATAATGTCCTCAAGATTTATCCATGTTGTAGCATATGTCAAAATTTCCTTCCTTTTTAAGGATGAGTAATATTCCTGTGTGTGTGTGTACCACATTTTCCTTATCCGTCCATCCATCAATGGATACTTAAACATTGCTTTCATTTTAGTTACTGTGAATAAGGCTGCTATGAACATGGGTATACAAATATTTCTTCGAAACCCTGCTCTAAATTTTATTGAGTATATCTCCAGAAGTGAGATAGTTGGATCATATGGTAATTCTATTTTTAATTTTTTGAGGAAACACCAAACTGATTTTGCAGAGCATCTGTACCATTTTATATTCCCACCAACAGTGCACAAGGGTTCTAATTTCTCTACATCCTTGCCAACACTTGTTATTTTCTGGGGTTTTTTTAATAGCCATACTATGAGTATCTCATTGCAGTTTTGATTTGCATTTCCCTAATGATTAGTGATATTGAGCACCTTTTCATGTTCTTAGTAGTCATTTGTATATTTTCTTTGGAGAAATGTCTATTCAAGTCCTTTGCCTTCTTTTGAATTGTCTACCCATTTTATTTTGCTCACGTATCTTCTTTGCCCGATCCATTACTAGTCACTATTCAATATTCATCTAAATTTCTCATTCATTAAATGATGAAATGAAAATTCATGTGAAAACAAAGTGATACACACAATACATATCTGTGTATGTTTACATACATGTACACAATATTCATTTTTTATATATATGCTTTAAGGAACTATAATATCATCCATGGCATGAAAGTTGGTGATCTAGTTGAGTAAATAGTTATATATATAAAAATTTTTTTTCAATGTATATCTAATAGTATGTTATATACAGTATGTTATATAATATAGTATATATATATATATTATGCGTATATATAGCATTGACATAACACATACAAGTACAGGGCAATATGAGAGAACTATATCCTCTTTTTCTTACTTAACAATCATTATTGCTACTTTCTAGAACCTGAGTAAGTCAAAACAACCCACTAAGTGAGCACCTATTTTGCTAAAAATTGGAGCTAAAATATTAACTACAAGGGGGCTCTTCCCTTTAAGAGTTCACTATCTAACTTAGCCCCCAAAATTTGAACATATCATGTTTCGAATCTGACCAATATGAAACCTGAGGATACACAATAATTTTGAAGTCTTTCCTTTAACATTCTCATATAATCGTGAGCAACTCAGAATCCTCCTATACAGGAAGCAACTATTTTCCTGCCCTGATACTGCAACAAATTTTAGGAAGCTTATAGTAACCCATATGACACAGGGCCAGTCGTCCAAATGCTCTATGGCAGCTTAATGGGTCTTCTACGGGAAAGGACGGCAATTTAGTACTAATGCACCCAGTACTAATGGGTAAAGAGTGAAATGTTAAAACAGGCCATCTGACAATGACAGCTGAGGGAAGAAAACAAAAAACTAACTCCAAAAAAACAGATGGACCAGCGAAAGTGGCAAAATTCCCCTATGACTTATACTTTAGTTTACACAAATTTGAACTCATAAAGAATCTAAAGTAAACAGCTACTTCTGAAAACATGAGAAGCAAACATTTATTGAGCACCTCTAAGCTGTACAAGGCACCCACTCAATAAATAATAAAAACCAAAACAGTTAAGTATTGAAAGGCAGCCAAAGTGATGTTACGTTAGTGTTATGCACATCTTACTCCTTTTCTCCTCACTGACTTGCCATGTGAATCATGCAAAGTTGCTCATATTTCTTCATCTTCAAAATGTAAGTCTTCAACTTAAATGTTCTCACACACACAAAAAAAAGAAATACGTGAGGTGATGAATGTGTTCCTTAACAAAATGGGAGGAATCCTTTCACAATACATAGGTATATCAAATCATTACAATGTACACTTTAAAGATCTTACTATTTTGTCAATTAAACCTCAACAAAGCTGAGTAAAAAAAGTAATAGTCTCCTAAATAACTCTTCCTACTACAAAGGCAGTAAACCTGCTGTGTACCAATCTATCCTTTCATTTACAGTTGTTGAAACAGAATACTGAGATATTTTTCTATATGTAACTTTTTCAGACCTTTGTCACTATCCTACCAACACCTGGGATAATGTACCTAGACCTGAGATTAATTCACCAAGTAAATGAATGATTTACTCTATGACCTTGAGTGTGATACCCTATAATATAGCTAATGTGGCATATTATTATAAAAACAATTGTTTAATCAGCACACTATTACCTAACAGAACAATGGACAACTAAACTGTTTCACATGCTAAATCAGGAAATGGGAGAGACCAGACAGGATCAACACTATGCCTTCCCTTGTCCAACACAGGCATCACTATGGCTCTTGTCTTTTTGGTTTGACTGTAATCCTTGAATGCAAAAATGTGGCCTGAGATTGATAATTTTAGTCCCATACCCATCTCACTTAAGCAGCCATATCAACTACTTAGAATCTCAGTTCAAAACAGCAAACTAAAATATTTTTAAGAGTAATCAAAAGAAGAGACACAGAGATATACTTCCATAAACAAGTTTTATAGCATTCAAAAAATGTTTGTAAGTTCCTCAAGCCCTGAATCAAAAACTATTTCTTTTCATTTTAAACATATTCCAACCATTTTGGTCTGACTGTCAATCCAACAGAACTTTAAGAAGTGAAAAACAGTGGTAGACACAGACAGAGATGTGACATTTGAAATTCTTGATAAAAAGGGACAAAGAAACCTATAAAAAGTCTAGTAGGATTTAAAATAGCACACAATAATATAAGGAGGTTCATGATGATGACCAGGGATACCAGGGAAAGGCAAAAATATATTCACATATTAGACATTCTACTTACATATGGGAAAAATTTTATTTAATAAAAAAATTAAAAGGTAGGCTAGTAAGCACATTATTTATTAAGAAAACTTACTGACACAATTAAAATGAAACTACTTTGGCACTGAAAAGGAGTAAGCTACCCTTATCTAGAATGCTTACTCTAGTACAGCTCATTCCCAAATAATTACTACAGATAATCTGGGTATAATATATTTATTCTGTCTTTAATTCCATTAATAAAATTAACTAAATAAGCAATTTGAAAAATAAGACATGGAGTTAGATGTGGCAAAAGATTAGCCGGGAAAAGGACACCAAAACAAAAAGGTGAAAATTATACTTTTCAGAAAATAAAATGTAAGTAAAAATTAGCTTTGACAAATATTTTCAAAAAGAAAAATATCACTAAACAATTTAATAAGTTATTAAATATAATAGTTATTTAAAAATGGAATATAATGACCCAAGACCCTCTTTCCAAGGTAAATACAGGGCGAAAAAAATTATCACCAAATCAAGGTAGAGTGCCTTGAATACTGATAATACAACTTAATCTACTGAAGAAAACAAAATATTTACCCATTTCTAGCTGCCAAATGGAGGGGGGTGCAGCCTGAAATATCTTGATAGTTAGGATTTGCTCCTTTCTTTAATAGCAGAACCAAGCATTCCACCGATCCACAACTAAAAAATATGAAAATATTAAAAACAGTTCAGACACATTCAATAAATAGCCTAAACTGACATAGCTTAATTAAAAAACAAAAAGCTCTATTAAACACATTATTTTTGAGGTCCACATTAACCTAAAATTTGACTTAACTTCTGTCACAAATAATACATATCCTGTCACAAATAATATATATCCTCTATTTTAAAATATAAAGCCAATGACTTCATGTGCAGTTAGTCGATAAATTCTCACATTGGTTGGATAAAAGAAAAATTTCAGTGAATGTACCCTCTTAAGTACATCCAGGAAAGACAATTCCCTTGCCTAACCTACTCTGATCTGATCTAGAACAAGCTAAGACAGTAGATATGAGACTTGAGTCTAATCCCAAGCTTAACAATGTTTTAGAGAAAGAATGCAAGCATAGTACACCATACCCTAAAGAGAATAAAGAACCACTCAGTTGTCTGTTCTCCATAACTACTGTGAACCAACACTGATTCAGAAATTACTGATCATTACTCTAAACCAGAGTTTAACCCAAAATATCTTTAGTCTTACTTTGCAGCAATGTGAAGCAAGCTTCTTTTCACACGTCCAAACGCATAATTAACATCAAACTTTGAATTTGATAGTAGTTCAGAAACAGACCTATGCCAAAAGAAAATTAAAAGTTATGTTAAAAAAAATGTAAAAACCTAATAGCTAGTTACTCGTTACTCTTACCAATTATTCAAAATATTCTGTCCCATATAAACCAAAAAAGCAAGGCACTATTATTCTAAGTGTAGCTTGGCAGCCAGCACAGTATCATCCAGAAACCAACTGCCCTGACCTATAAATAAGTGCTGAAGGTTTCTTCTTCAGTGCTCTGTGTCACCCACTCTGAGGACATCTGAGTTACCTTCAGCTTCCCCTAGATTCTTGAGAAACAAAGAAAGTAGGACTGGCCTCTCCACTGCAGAAAGCTGAGCCCATCTATATTCATTTTGGCCAAATAAGAAAAATTTGGGCCAGCCGAGTGGCTCAGTTGGTTAAGAGCTCACTCAAGAGTGTGAGCTCTGAGCAACAGGATCACCGGTTCGATTCACGGCCTGAGCTGAGCAGCCGCTGAGCTGCCAACAGGAGGCAGGATGCCTCAGCTAAAAAAAAAAAAAAAGAAGAAGAAAGATCTGGGACAAAAAATATATTTTAATTATATCACATAGGAAGTTTAAAGCAAGAAATAATTTATATTTTAAACTTGTTTCAAAATATAGTTTGTCTTCACTTTCTTCTCATTACACTAAATTACCCAATGGCTAACCACTGTCTGCTACAAGTGTAAACACCTCATCCCACAGCCAGATAACTGTATCTTACATGACCAACCAAGTACTTGACTTAACATCTCACTATTCCTTTAGAAAATCTCTTTACCATAAAATTTTACAGTTGATAATCGGAAAATCTTGGAAAATCTTGTTTCTTAACTCACAGACAGAAAACTATAATGGAGGTTAAATAACTTGCCCCAGGATAACATCTGTGTGTGTGTGTGTGTGTGTGTGTGTGTGTGTGTGTATTTACCTAAAATTTGAGGTAAATTTATACTTCTCAAAAAATACAAATTTGTGAAATAGGTACTTACCTGTGCTGATCAGCCATAACCATTGGCATTAATGTATAAACAGCAGTTTCATTATCTGAGTTTAAAAAAAAGAAATAAAAATAATTAATCTCTTATTTTTTTCAAAGGATGAAACTTAAGACTACTTTAGAGTTGTCTTAACTCCACATAAAAAACGAGAAGAGTTGAAAGAAGGTTAAGGATAGTGCAGAATAACAGAGGTATTGCAAAACTTGCAATAATGCACAATTTCTTATGCCTTGTAATGCTTGTCCCCTCTACATCACCACAAAAGTGCTTAGCTTCTGGATTTAAGGGAAAAAAAAAAAGAGATCTAATATTTTCTGTAGCTTTAACAAATAAAATTTCTTTTACTTCCAATGAGGTGTTTATCGACTTCATGTTTTATCATACTTACATGTACTTTGGGGAATTTTAAGTATAAGTGGATATTAAAGATACAGTATATGCTAAATAATTTTTAAAACATTAAATATACATAGTACTTGCTTCTTGCCAATATTATGACAAAATAAATTATTTTAGAAGCTTTTATGAAAAGCAATAAAGCCTTACTTTTATTTATTGCTTTAAACCATTCACATTTTTGTTTATATCTTTTACAGAATAAATTCACAGAAACATGATCCAAAAGAAAAGGTTAAAAGTCAACAGCATCAGAGCTCACTCATGAGTGCAATCTCTGAGCAACAGCGGTTCGAGTCCCAGCCTGAGCTGAGCTGCCAACAGGTGGCAGGATGACTCAGCAAAAAAAAAATAAACAGTCAACAACATCTATGATGCCGTATTATACTTAGTAAATTTCAGCTAGTGTTTGAATTTATTTGTATTCATTACTAATGGTCATTTCTCAATTCAGTTTATTTTAAAGGTATATGTTTTTTAATAAGTTATTTACAGAAAAGCAACCCTGACAACTCCCATTTACCCCTTAAAAAGTTAATACTGATGCTAAAATTAAAGTTTGAGGAGAGACTAGTTGTAGAATATCAAAGTATCCCCCTAAAATATTGATTAATTACAAAGGAAAAGCAGTAAATTTATAGTGGAGAACCTAACAGATACCACCTTAATTAAGAGATAAATGGTAACATCACCAAAACTAATACATATTGATATCATGTAGCCCCTGATATGATTCACTGAGAAGGGCACAACACTTTTGTAATATTCTTGCCAAAAATGCATAACTTTAATACAATCATGAGAAAGCATCAGACAAACTCAAATTAAGGGGAATCACACACATCTGATTAGTACTCTTAAAAAGTCTCAATTATTCCTTGCCTTAAAAAGTCAAAGACAAGGAATAATTGAAGAACTACCACAGTTTGGGGAGGCTATGGAAACATGATAACTAAATGCAACATGGTATCCTGGATTGGAACCTAAAATAGAAAAATGATATTCATGGAAAAACTTGTGAAATTCTAATAAAGTCTGTAATGTAGTTAATAGTATTATATCAATGTTAATTCCTTAGTTTTGATAACTGTATTATGGCCGTACAAGATGTGAACATTAGGGGAAGATGGGTGAAGGGTGTATGGGACCTCTGCACTGTTTATGCAATTTGCATACAAGTCTAAAATTACTTAAAAATTAAAAATTTAAAAAAAAAAAGGAAGAAAAAGAAGGGGGAATTGTTATCATTACAGGAGTCTTAAGAGGGCCGGCCGAGTGGCGCGATGGTTAAGAACTCGCTTGGGATGCCAGAGCGCCCGGGTTCGGATCCCACATATGAGGGCCAGTGACACTGCCCTCTACAGCTAAGATGCTGAACAACAGCTCAACCTGGAGCTGGGCTGCCATGAGTGGCTGGCGACAGTGTAGGCTGGAGCCCCTGTGGCAGTGGGTTGCCATGGGCTACCGTATGTAGCCAGCAGCCAGCGTGACCGGACAGCACCCGCAGTGAGCGGCCATCCAGAAGCCGGCGACTGATCTGCCTCGCCCGGGGAAAAGTGCAATGATGGTGCCAACTTGGGCCAGTGAAGCAACGTCCTCCACAACTAGACTGAAGAACAAAACAACAGCAACTTGTCTGTTCCCCTTCCCCCAATTCCCCAGCGCTGTTCCCATCCCCCCAATTCCCCAATAAAAAAAAAATTCTAAAAAAAAAAAAAGTCTGAAGAGATTTATCAACCAAATGCAATGTATGTATTTGGATACTGACTCAAACTAACCAAGTGTAGGAGGTATTTTTGACAAGGGAAGTTGAATGTGGACTGGTATTTGATGATAATAAAAAAAATATTGTTAATTGTGTTAGCTCTCATGTATTACAATTATGTTTGAAAAAACAACTTACATATTTAGAAATATACACTGAAGTATTTAGAGGAGAGAATGAAAAAAAGTGATTACCATTTCTTCAATTTTTAAAATTTTACTATTTGGGAGTATATACATTAAAGAGCAATATAGTCCTAATCAACATTGACAAGTTCAGTGTGTAGATCCAATAACTATTTCAGTATAAAAATAAAATACCAAGGAATCCTATTAATTAACAGCCAACATGTTGTACGCTATTATCTTAAAGGCACTATTCTAAACAATTTACATGTATCGTTTCTTCTATCCTCAGAACTACCTTATGATATAGGCAATTATTATCCATCCCCGTTTTACAAATGAGAAAACTGAAGCACTAAATAACAAGCTGGGTGATGGTGGTATTAAGTGGCTAGAATTCAAACCTGGATGATTGCAAAGCCCCCATAATAAAAACTTTACAGTGAACCTAGTATACACTATACTATAGTAGCCTAAGATCTATAATACAACACTCATTTTTCAAATGTGCAATACATTCTAATTTTTTAATTCTATTTCATTTTTTTTAAATGGTGACTGCAACTACTAAATTGTTCTCATTAATTACCAGTGAATCACCACCAGGAGTTGAAACATACTACACTACACTAAGCCCCCTGGGCAGGTGACATTCTTTATATCTCATATAATACGTGTCCCAATAAAAATCAGAGCTTCTGTGGGCTGGCCAAGTGGCGCGTTGGTTAAGAGTTGGCTTGGGACGCCAGCTCTGAGAAGCAGGGCCCCGGTTTGGATCTCACATGAGGGGCAGTGACGCTGCGCCCTCTACAGCTAACATGGTGAACAACAGCTCGACCTGGAGCTGGGCTGCCGTGAGTCGCAGGCAATGGCATAGGCTGCAACCCCTGTTGGAGTGGGTTGCCATGGGCTACCGTTTGTAGCAAGCAGCCAGCGTGAGCGGCCGTCCAGAAGCCAGCAACTGATCTGCCTCACCTGGGAAGAGTGCAATGATGGTGCCAACTTGAGCCAGTGAAGCAACGTCCTCCACAATTAGACTGAAGAACAAAACAACAGCAACTTGTCTGTTCCCCTTCCCCCAACTCCCCAGCGCTGTTCCCATCCCCCAATTCCCCAAAAACATTTAAAAATAAATAAATAAATAAATAAATAGTAAATACCTTTATTTGTGAATTGAAATTTATAAATCAAGGCAGTACATAATTTTGAGTGGGCATCATAAAGTTCATGTGGGTTTTATTTACAGGGTGTTTATTTAGATAAAATTTAGATGTAGATCTTATTTTTTAAGTCACAGCTAACCTTATAAAAATAGAGCTCACATACACTATGACATTTGAAGAAACAAATGTAACCACAACTATGGTACTAGGAGGAGACAGTCCAGGAAATACTATACTAAGAACAGAATAAAATTTGTTGTCAGGTGCTTCCTTCTCTACTCTCATGAAGACACTTTGAGAACTAGGTATATAATTAAAGTTTTCAGAGTGATAAGAAAAGTTTAATCTTTCACTTTATCAGATATAGTGACATTTTTTATTAATAAAGTTTTAGATCTCAACAAGTAAAAGGAAAATCTTAAAAAATAGGCAGCTCATATTCATTATATTATATACAATTTCTCTTCAAACCATCAAATAGAAGCGATTTTTAAAAAATAATTATTCTAATCATTATTCAAATATATATAAAATATGCTCAAGTTCTATTTTATTAAACAAACTACATTCACTGTAATGCAATTTGAAGACTATTTCCACATAAGAGAACAGTATACTCGTAAGCCAACTTTAAATTTAAAGTCCACTGAGAATCCACATTCCTAAAGTAATTTCCCTTCACTTCCTCTCTCATAAGTAAGATTCCTATGTCAGCCCTGCCTAGGATGACTCAACAACCTGGACCCTGTACATAGTGGCAATACTCAGGTTTTCATCATTCCAAGGAAATATAAACATGTCTTCCCCAGCATCCACTTCGGTAAATCAAGTATTTGCAGTTTACTCCTATGCAACGATGTTAATTTTAGAGTAAATGCTGATTAAAAACGTTCCAACCTTAATAATTTGTTCCAATTAGATGCTTAATTGCTGAATTCTAACAAAGCAAAATAAGTATCTGATTATTTCCTAAATTTGGAGAGATCTCACAACTTCTGATCAGCCTTTAAAATGCAAGCACAATCTGGATTTTTATAATTAGAATGCTACACACACACACACACACTCTCTCTCTCTCTCTCTCTCTCTCTCTCTCACACACACACACACACACTCACACACAACATCTGAAAAGCCAATCTCAGAGAATTCAAAGATTCATCAGAACTTAGGAACAAAGATAAAGGAACAAGATCGGCAAACTCATTATAATAATAATAAAAAAAAATGTAAGTAAGATGTCACTTTTGCCTAGCAACATGGGAAAAAGTTTTCTTTTTAGTTTCTCTAGTTTCCACGGACTCTCAATTTGTAGAAACTTCCAAAGAGTAAGTTGAGAGGTAGATACTCAAAACCTTAAAAGTGTTGATATAATTAGATATATAATTGTTCTTTTACATATTAATTCTAATGAAATATTTTAGAGGCGGACTAAAACTTTAAAAAGTACAAAGCTGCTCCTCATAAATCTATTATAAAAACAAAAATTAAAGATTCAATATTTGTTACATATATCCTATAATAACCTACAAAGTCATAAAGCATATTTAAATATACAAAAAAAGTGATGTTTTCTAAAAGGAAAATGAAAGACGATGTGCAATATGATCTTGTTTTGGGAAACAAAGAAATAATAATGGGAGTAAATAAAGAAAATATTAACATTGTTGCTGGGTGGTGGAATAGATTTTTTTTCTTTCTTTTCAAAAAATTCTAGAGTGAAAATATATTACTACTTTTAAAACCAGGAAGCATTATCAAAGTCTTCTAAATCACACTGATGTAAAAACCATTGGGATTTAAACTAAGCGATACAAATTGCTGTCCATGAACCTACATAAGCAGTCTTCTTCATCAACCTACACCAGTAAGTTGACAGTGGAAGATGAGTGAGGGCAGCATTTAAGAAATGCGCTCAAAGGTAGAAGTTGAAAAGAAAACAGAAAAAAAGTTGAAGCTGGATGTCTAATCACTAAAACTTTTATATATATATTTTTAGATTATTTCAGTCAACTACTTCATACTAGCAAAGTATCAAATACAAAATTATTTTTAATAAACAGTAACCACAAATCATCCCTGTTCTGAATCATAAGCAGAGACCAGGGAAATTTTTTTCAAGAAAGTTATCCCCAAAGTCCCCAATCCCATGTTTCTTTGATGACTCTCTCCCAAGGTCTCTTTCCCTAACCTACAAATCACCTCTCCAGCAGCAATTCAAGGAAAGTTTCGGAAAAAAAAAAATTTAGACTAATACAATTCTTTTTTTTTTTAAATTACCAACAATAACCCCTTAACCCTTCTCTCACTTGGGCATACATAAACAAAGGCCTCTTAAGGGACAGACTGCCATCTCCCAATGCCACTAAAACGTCTTAATTCATGAAGCTGCAAACAAACCGGCTTTCTTTCTTCACCTTTTTTATTGCTAGTGTTTTATCTGTCCTGAAGGAACCCTAGCGCACACTAAAAATTCCGGAACTACAGGGGTGATCACGCCTCATTCCTCTTTGTAGAAGCTACCGAGCCTCCACCTATGTCTGACGAATAAATAATGAAGGCAGGCATGCATATTTTTAAAAAGTGTAAATATGTACACACACAGCATTTTAAGAGTACAAGTTTGATATCTGACACCCTCTTATTTATCTGTTTATTGTCAAAATACAACAGTGTGCTACCTTTTAAAAAAGAAAAGAAAGACTGCTTAATCGCCCTTCCCCTCTGCAGTTTAAAGTAAATAGTACTATTTTGGGAACATCTCTCTATCCCCAGCAAGCAGCAACTGTAAAATGGCCCACAACTGTAATGTTTCCTGAATCCGGGTCTCCGCCATCCGGCTGGTATTTCTGTCCCTTCGCCAAAATCCCTAACCAACAGTCGAGAAAAACTTCTGTCTGTTCTGCTTCTTCCACCAGCAGCGCCCGCACGGCCCGGACCCCTCCCGCAAATTCCCACCTGCCTGGGCGGGAGCGGCAGGCGAAAGATGGTTAGGGGTCCCAGCCCGACCCCCTCCATCTCAGAAAAGTAAACGTGGGCATTTTCTCAGCTTTCGGTTAGTTTTCCAACCCGACCGCGCCACGGCCCGGACCCCCCCCCGCCCCCCGCCAGGCGCCCCGAGATCCTGCTCACCATCGGGCAGCTCCACGGTACGAGCGCGGCGCAGCGAGCGCGTCAGGCGGTTGAGCTGCTCCATCGCTCTCTCCATCCTCGGCGCGCCCTCCGTTCTCCCCCAGCCGCGCCGGCGGCCTCCTAGCCCAGCACCCTACATCCCGCCCCGGCCCGTTCTGCGGGCGGAGGCGCCGGCTCGCCCCGGCCACAGCCCGGGGTTGCAGGGACAGCTCGGGGCCGCGTCTTCTGTCGAGGTCTCGGGGGCCGCCAGACCGACCACCCAGGGCACTACCGCTAATACCGCCGCTCAATCCCTTCCTGCCGCCACCGCCGCTTCCCTGGTGGACTCGCACGGCCTTCTGGGAACGGTAGTTCCAAGCCTGCGGAGCCGGGCAATCGGGGCGGAGCCACGCTGGGTGCGCCCGAAGCTCCGCGCTCCGGCCACGCATAAACCTGGGTTGGACGGGCGGTGTGTGCGGGAAGCAAAGCCAAGCTTGGGCGTACCCCCAAGTTCCTGGAGAAACTTCCGGGGTGCCCCCAAGCCCCTTCCTCTTGTCCTCCAAATTTGTACGGGGGCCACTTCCTTCAGCTGCAATTAATTCACCGTCCTGTATAGCAGATTGGGGATTTGCACAATTGTTCTTAAATCTATCATCCCAGTTTTGGTACATTTGGTTTTCATATACGCGTACATAAACTGTTGAAACATTTTATACTATTTTCATATGTCAAATTTAAAGAATAATAAAGTCAAGCAAAAGCAGAATACACATTTTGCTTCGTTGCAAGTAATTTAACCATAATTGAATCATTTGTCTCCCCTGCTGGGTGACTTCATGAGGGCAAGACCACCACTCTATCTTGTGCCTTGTATTCCCGCACTTATTATAGCACCTCACACCAAGTTATACATTGGGGAAGCTATGGGTGATGAATATTTTAGTTTATTTGGTACAATGCTGAAGTGTCAAGGTGATGACAGATCCCAGTGGGAAATCCAAAGACTCTGAACTTGTACATTGCAAAAAACTTGACAACGCCAACAAAGTACAGGAGAAATGAATTATAAGGAAACCATTGGGGGAGGGGGATCATATTTGTCAGCTCTACACACAAGTTGAGCACAAGTCAAAGTAAAAACAGAAATTTGAGCAGCTGAAACATGAAAGAATTAATCCATCCAGGTAAATATGAGCTTGGCTAACACTACTGACAATGAAAAGGTAAGATGGGACTTTTCTCTTCTTGGATATAACCAGTGCCAAGATGATGCCAGAGTAAGAAAGAAGCAAAGAGATTGGGCTTTCTCAGCTTCTCCTTCCTCAGAGAGGCCAAGATGTTCCTACCATGAATGGGCACAGGTGTGCTGACAATGTTGGCTAGCCCAGAGGAAGAAAGCAAGTCTCACCTGCCAACCCAGGCTATTCAGGGGCAGATAGTGGCAGGCATGGGTGTTCCCTGCCAGCGCCTTCCTAAATCAGTTCCAACCTGCAGCGATCAGGCACTAGTGCCAGTGGTGCAACAGGCTCAGGCAGGGTAGACCTCCTAACCAGTTGGTTCAGAGGAGACCTAACCAGTCTGGCAACAAGGTGGAGAGGTCAAAGCTTCAAAGAAATGCCAAATGCTATGAGCCAATCCGGGCCATGCCCAACCCTTTGCAACCTGGCTTCAACTGGAAATGCTCCAGCCTTTCTTAGCCTTCCCATTCCATTCAGAAAGTCAAGATCTTCACTGCTGTACAAAAGTTAGCACCTCATTCCCTGTTATCACCAACATTCCTTAAGCTGTTGCTCTGTATAAATCACTTTTAATTTCCTGTGGGCTCCAAGCCTGGAGTTTGCGTGTAAGGGCAAGAGCCCCCAATAGCCTCCATGGTGGGCATCACTCCCTATGCTGGTCAGTGTTCACCACAGAGCAGAAAATGCTGGAAGAATGTTACAGGATGCTGCTGTCAATTATAAATTCTGCAGTATGATGCAGCCTCTCAAACAGCTCTGTTCCAAGGTGTATGAAGCTGCAATATTACTATCTAGGATTATCGAGGCCTGCCGAATAGGACTTTCTACAATGGTATAAATGTTCTGTAATCTGCACTGTCCAAAATAATAGCCACTAACCAAATGGAACCACTGGGTGCTTGAAATGTGGCTAGTGCAACTGGATTTTAAGTATGTATTTAATTGTAATTAAATTAAATAGCCACATGTGCCTAGTGGCTACCATATTGGACAGAGCAGCTTATCACACCGAGAGGGAAGCTGCCCAGAAGGACAACAAAAAAGCCAAACAGTTCCTCATAGCTTATTAGCTAAAGAATTCTTAAATATTTATTAAATAATTCTGAAAGAATTGAAGATTTTCTCACTTGTCCTGTGGAAGCCAACACCAAGAATATCAAATGAAAGCTTTAAAACATCATTTCGTATCATAAGTTCCATTATCATAAGTTCCATTATCAAAAGCATAGAGTTTTTCATTTATAAGATTCCAGATTTTTCCGTGACCCAGTTTTAACTTCTTTTTTCTAATTCTGGATTGTTTTTCTTCTCTGGAAATTGGTTTTATTGGAAATACCCAAGCTTAAGTTTCTCCATTTAAAAGAAGAAAACAATCACTTCAACAAAAGGCAGGAAGGGAACAGGAAAAATAAAAAGCCAAGAACAAAGAACAATCATTGTAAAAACAAAACACAAAAATAAGATGGTAGAAATAAGTCTAAATATATCCATGGTCATAGTCACAGAAAATATAAACAGAGTAAATGCAATGATTAAAAGACAGAGGTCTCAGATTGTATGAAAAGGAATAACAAAACAGCTATTTGCTATTTCCAAGAGACCACCATTTCCAGGAGACCACCATTTCCAAGAGGAAATGGGAAAAAAGATATACCTAATAAATATTAACCAAAAAAATCTGGTATTGTTGTATATTAGTCAGGGTTCTCCAGAGAAACAGAACTAATAGGATTATACATATATAGAAAGAGATTTATTACAAAGAATTGGCTCATGCGATTATGGAGGCTGTCCAGTTCAAAATTGCAGTGTGGGCTGGCAGGCTGGACACTCAGGAGAGCAGATGGTGCAGATGAAGTCGGAAGGCAGTCTGCCGAAGAATTCCATCTTGCGGGTCTTTCTGTTCTATTCAGGCCTTCAAATGATAGAATGAAGCCCACCCACATTATGGAGGGCAATCTGCTTTACTCAAATTTCACTGATCTAAATGTTAATCTCATCCGAAAACATCCTCCAAGTGGACACATAAAATTAACCATCACAAACAATATTAGTATCAGCAAAGCAAACTTTAAAGCAAAAAATATTATTAGAGTCAAAGACAATCACCGAGAAGTTTATAATCATCCTGAGTCTACACCTAACAACATACACTAAAAATAAATCTACGCTTGACAGAATTACAGGAATAAATTCTACCACCAACAGTGGTAGATTTTTAATACCCTTCTTTCTGACACTGACAGAGCTAGCAGAAAAAGATAGGTAAGGAGATAAAAAATTCAAAAATTTCAACTATAAGCCTCCCCGAGGGCATGTGCATGTGCGCAACATTTCACTCTGCCTAACAAAGAGGGAATACACATTGTTTGACAGCACATGTTACATTTACAAAAACGTAAATGGCAATAGTGCTAGTCTTCAGAACAGTGTTAGTGAGAAGGCAATTAAGGAGACAATGACTGAAGCCAGGCTGGGGCTGGGTGAAAATCTCA